AGGGGGAGAAGTAACATAAGTAACCATCAACTAATGAGTGGATACACAAAATATGGAATATTTGCATGATGAACTCTTCAACCTCAAAAACAATTATGTCCTGATACATGAAATAAATGGATGAACCTTGAGGACATTATGCTGAATGAAATAAGTCAGTCACAAAAAGATAAATTCTGGATGATTACACTTACATGAGTTACCTAGTGAGCACAAATTCATAAAAACAGATCATGAAAATAGTGACTAGCAGGGATGGGGATAGAGGGGAAAATAGGGAGTCATCGTGTAACAGGTACAGTTTCAATTATGCAAAATGAAAGTTTTGGATGTCGACTGCACAACAATATAAATATACTTAACACTACTGAACTACACACTTAAAAATGGTTAACATGGAAAATTTTATGTTTTTAACACAAATTTTTTTACTTAGGGGACTTGTAAAATACCATTCACCACTGTGCTTACAGTTCATATTAGCTCAGTAGCATATTAAGTGTAGCAATCTACTTTCATTTGTAAAGATGTCTAGGGTTTAATAAATAACAAATTATTATTAATATATTTTTTGACAGCTTAAGATAAACCAAACACCCAGATGGGAATCAAATTTCCACTACACTTCACTTGCTAACATGAAAAGAGAAGCCCAGTGGTCAGCATGTGGCATGGTGGTTAAGGTGCCAGAATCCCACATGGCCAAACACAGTTCAAATCCCAGACCCAGTAGCTTAAAAATCAGGCCAGGCATGTGTGTATGCGTGCCCAAAAACCCAAGAGGAAAATGGAGCAGAAGGGATTACAGCATGGCCACCCCGTCCCTCTTGAGGGGGTGATTTCTCACTTATCCTGTTTTTCTCTAACAAGCATATGTACCCTATGGCAAAAACCTAAAAAGGGGGAAAAAAATTAGAAGCCCACGTTTTGTACTACCTAATTATTAAATGAATACTACATAGATAAGGGAGAAAAAGTAGGTAGTCTTAGAAGTATACACCTGAATTATCTAAGCTCACAAATATCTTTGTTAAAAAATAAAATTGGTTAAATTATTCTCCCTATGAATCATCAAATTTGACCTTGTTTAAAAGTCACTAATTTTTTTAAAGAATTATTTTATTTGATCCAATATTATTTATTTTTCAATTTTTCTAGAGAGACACAGAGAGAAAAAAGGGAAAGTGAGAAAGCAAGCCACCAGGTCCAGGACTCAAATTACAGTTGGCCACATGGGAGTCTAGTCCACCATGCCACCTACCAACTCCAAAGTTACTCATTTTCAAAGAGGAAAACACTCAGAACTGAAAATCCTCAAAATATTAAGCATATATTTTGTCTCCTTTAAAATAAAAATAAAGAACTGTCTTCACTAAGGGCACATAGTAAGTCAGGTAGGTACTGTTCAAGTCCTGAAACAATCTAGTCACTACTAGTGAGTACTGGGGGCATAGAGTCAAGCTAGTGACAAAAATAATCAACTGATGGCCAGAGTTAAGATTTACCAGCTAATCTGAACTGGATCAACTGATGGCCAGAGTTAAGATTTACCAGTGAATCTGAACTGGATTAAAAAAAAAAAAAAAAAAGACAAGGTTGAAAATAGAAAACAGAATGATTTGGAACAAGATAAACCATTCTACATATAAAACTTTAATCAGAACTCTCAAACTTTAAACACTTCCTAATTTTAGATATTAAGGCTAATTCAGATTTCTGGTAGCTCTCAAAGTATGGGTATTATATGAAACGCTGTTGAACATGTAAAAAACAATTTATCAAATTTATGTGCAATAATAAGCATTTGAGTAAGACACTGCTATAAAAAGACTGATTGGAAGCTACACATTGTTACATGACTGTAGAAATATGAGTTAATGGTAATGATTGTCACAATTAAGTATTTATAAAGACTTCTATAAGCACAGATTTTTTAGTGTGCTATCTGAGGTGCTTGAGAAAACATTCACCAAGAATCCTTCTTTTTTCCCAGCTACTTTAACCTTACTGACCACAACCCTGGAAATACCTCAAAAGATGCTTTATTGTTAGGTATGCTAACTAAACAAATGCAATATATCATAGTTATTAATACCCTTACAATTGTTTATGGAAAAATCATACATGTGCATGTATGTTGAGTTAGCCACATAAACACACAAATACACACATATATACACATTAACCCACATTTAGATATTCAAGAACATTAATTCAAAAACTTACATCGTTTCTAAGATTCTATAAAATAGGTATGTTCAGTCTTCTATTAACCTCACCTTTTCTCATTTCCTTAAACTAATGAAGTTATACACATGAACTTAGTACTGGGGCTCCAGAGATCCTAGTATGAAGCATATGAGGGCGAGTATGTAACACTTAAGTTACAGAATAAAGGTAGTTGGAAGAAAACAGACAGATACAAAGTGCTTTTATAAAGAAAAAATACACGAATGGTATTTAGAAGTACTTGAGACTTCTAAAATTCCTGACAATTTATGGTAAATTTATCATTCTATTAAGAATGGAAAATTTATAAGACATCAAGAAAAAGTAATTGATGTTATATTAATACATATTATCATTAATTATTATTAATATATTATTAATGTAATTTTCTGGGAAGATGTTTTCTTATAATTGGATACTTTACTCAGTTGTTTGCATTTGGAAATTGTGGCTTATTTTATGCTAGTATCATCCTTACGTGCCAAATTCAGGACAATGCATTATTATTACTCATTGCATCTTTGCTTATTCATCAAAATAACTGAGAAGCACCATCCCTTCCCACTGTTTAATTTATAAGCCCTAAACATGCAAAAGCATTACAATCTCCAGACTTTTCTACTGGTCAAAGTGGTATAGCACTGAAGGACCACCTTCAACCTCAAACTCTCTGTGGGTTTTAGAGAAAAGAACTAAAGTGTTCTCTGATGGAAGATAGCAACTGGGAAAAGGAAAATACATGTTTAAGTTAAAAATATCCTCAATTTCTCCATAACAAGCAGTTTCCCTAAGGAAGCACCTAAGAAAAATTTTTAATCAGTAATCTAGGAGGTCTGTCTATGTGTCCAAATGCCTTTCCAACTTATGAAATACGAAGCAGAAAAGCAGGACATTAATGGTTTTACTATACACTGACAACCAGATAAAGTAAACAAGCAATGACAAGCCTCAAATTTGTCCCTGAACTCAAAATTTGGGATAAGCCTATAGCCGTATGTATAAAAAAGGAATGTGAAAAGATAAGAAGACCCTCATTATTTTACAGAAACAAACAAAAAATTCATGGCATATCTGCCTAAATTACTAAGTTGCAAAATAATGCAGCAGAGAAAATGGAAAAAATAAGATTAATATGGTAAGAAAAATGTATTTTCCTAATTAAATGATTGAACTTCAGTTTAGTAAAGTGACTCAGATTGCCATGACTTCAAAAAGTTTATGGAAAATGGAATTAACACAAGTTTACTTTGGTCCAAAATGATTGAAATCCATGTGGTTCTGTAGTATGAATTTTCCATGAACTTTATGAAGACAACCCTTAACAATGTCCTCAGTCTTTCCATGACGAGCAGTTTTTCTAAAGAACCACCCTAAGAAACATTTTTAATAGATGGTAGGTGAATGTGTCCAAATACAATAGGACTAAATTCAACCATTTCCAAAGATGCTTAGATACTGAAGTTCTCCGTAGAGAGTGTAAAAATGTCTAAAACAAAGGAACAATTCCATCTCCTTCCATATAAAGCAAATCCAAGTTGTAGTCATAGGAAGAACTTTCCTAAGAGTGTCAGACTCATGAAACTTGTGGATTATGGAACTGGAGAAAAGAACACAGTGTACACCTAAATATATCATTATGGTAATAGTGCTTTGCACAACATAAGGATTGAACTCCTTGAGTATATTAGCCCTTTGTTACTGTGTAACATTACACGTTCTTTATTATCTTTTATTTCCAGGGTAGTAATATAAAAAGTTGTAACAGACCACTTTGCATCATTCCTTAGTGAACCATCAGGTGATTCAAAGCTTGTCTCATCCTCAAATAGATAAAAGCAAGTACAATAAAGGGACTTAAGAAGGTTAAGAAAGGAAGGGTTCTTTTATATTTTCCAAATGGCCTTTTTCCAAGAGTTTGGAATACTGAAAAAAATTAAGAAGGAACCAGCAGATAGCATAATGGTTACTCATTTAGTTGACCACGGTTCGAGTCCCACACCTGCCAGCTTAAAACTCAAGTGAGTGTGCATGCATGCCCAAAATCCCGAGAGGAGACTGGAGGAGAAAGGGTTGTAGCCCAGTCATTTCCTCTGGGGAGTGGTTTCTCACTTTCTGTCTCTCCAGTGAGGGCACACACCTTACAGCAAAAACCTTTAAAAAAACAAACAAAATCCTCTGGATCTGCCATTTAATTCAGAATTTCCTCCTGTAATAATTGTTTAACTATGTTGCTAATAGTTGCATGTGCTTCAAAAGGAGAAATCTTTTTCTCCAGTTATTGCACTCCAGTGAAAATCTTACCTTACAGAGCAGTTATGTCACATGGTTAAATTGAACCCTTATGTAACAAATAGAATACTTTCCTCTTTTTACTTAATATAGACATGATGACCACTAATCAACTAGTGTCTGCAAACCATCGAGATAGTTGCGCACTACTTGGCCTATGGGGAGAGTGTTAAGAGCAACTGAGTAAGGTGAGGCAGGATGTTTTCTCTTTTATGTCTTTAGTGAACTTCTAAGGGACTAAAATCAATGTCATGTCAACTATACAGCAAAGAATCTGAGTTAAGAATCTGAATTCAAATGTATTTTGAGGAAAAATGAGGGATTTAAACCATATACTGCAGGGTGAAATTTTCACTATGTACACACTGTCTTAATTTGAAATGTTTTATATTTGCATTTCATATAATATTGTTCTGGGACCGGACAGTGTATTTCCAGAAAATGAAAAATCAACTATTGTTCCACCTTAATATTCAACCTACCTGCCCATAGTTGTCTATGCCAGTTACTAATCTATTTAAATTTAATAAATCAAAAGCTGTCCTTAGGGATTGGCCAAGAGTCGTTAGTCCTTCAGCCTGAAGGTTTTTCAATTCATTCATAAACGTTGCATGGTTTTCTTTCCATCCAGCCTGAAAAGAAAAACGTAAGAATTTTTTTTTTCATCTTTAAATGCCCTTACAATCTGACATTCACCAAGCAGCTGCTTCATTTGGGTTGCATGGCTTCGTTAACTTCACTTTGGATTGGTGTGGTTTGTTTAACGTGTTAGTACTGTACCACTGCTGAGAAAACTGCCCCAAAGCTGGCCAAGAATAAACCTGCCTGCTCTAAAGCTTTTGGTAGCTTACAGCCTTGACACTTTAAAAGTTCACCGGGAAATTTACTACCTGACCTAATACCCAAAATCTGGGGGTATGAAAGCACCAGTGGACAGCAGACCAGAGCAGGACTTCTGAAGTAAACCCAGAGCTATCTCACTGGCCCGCCACCCTCTTAGGAGGGACCGAGGATGACCAAGCCTCGAAGCCCCCCATCCTGCTCCCTGGTCCAGCAGCCAGGGTCCCCTTTAATGCAAACCCAGGCTCGGCGCGGCCGGGGCCCGGCTGTCACTCGGGCTAACTTGAAT